AAGCTCGACATTTGTCCTATATACTATCGACCATGCTCTTTAAAATGGCCGAATCAGTTTTCTTTATTTTTGTAGTCGAACCTTCTGATGTGAAGGGGACCGTTAGCTGGCCACGCCGAACTGCTCCATTTTTCAATCTTTTCGAAAAATTCTTTAGAAAATAGAATCGTTTGTATTGTAAGAAGTAAACAACTTTTTCATTAACTATCCTTTTTGTGGAAAATAATATGAATTGTTTTTTAAAAAAACTGAATAAAAATCTAAAATCAGCTGATATAATTTCTTTTTGTACAACTTTTCACCATTATTGCGAAGAAACTGGGGAGGAAGTGAAGTTTATACTCAAAATAGTAGAATTTTTATCGATTTTCTACTCCACCCTATGTAATGTAGAAAAAAGTGTCGATAAAAGGTGGATAAAATGGTTCTTTTAAAGATCGAACAAGGATTTTACATTTTCATGTTATCCTACTTCGTCGCCTTTTTTCAATGAATAGAAGATCGATCAACCCACGTTTGTTCATGTATTTTCTACCTTTGCATTACCGAGATGTGAGCCACCTACAGTTCTCGTATATACACCTGATTGTCATAGAATAGATGGGTGCTGCAGTCAAAAAGCTGATCATCCAACGTTCGTTTCTTTAATGCACAACATTCATCTTATTACATATCTTAGACTTACCTTAAAATTGAAATATAACATTTCAAACAACTAGACGAGATTATTAAATCATTTTATTTTTTTTCATTTAGAATTTATGAACTTGATAAAAATGATTTGATGTGTAAAATAAAATTTATTATGTTTAAAAATTACAGTTAACTATGACATTGGATTATTTAACAATTGAGCTTCGCTCATGTTTCTAGTCATTTTTTTCCACTTGTTCTCTCTTTAATTTTACATATCATATTTTATTCTATTGATCAATCAACATCATTTATCTAGTAGTCCATTACTAAAACAATCTATTAATTCATCTGTATTCATTCGTGCTCTATCTCTTTATTATATATTTTTAATTGGTTATTTAGTAGCATTCTATTATTATCCATTATATAGTCCATTAGGTTTATTTACAATTTTTCTTGTCATATTTCATTTAAGTGAATGTATAACCGTTGCTCTATGATCAAAAGAAACATTACCATTAGAATCATTCTTATGAATATCATGCAGCTATTACCAGTTCATATGTTGAATATCTTTTTGAAATAAAACGATGTTCAATAGAATTAAAATTCAGTCAATTAGCTTTTATTATTCGTCTTGGTAAGTTTATCTTGTATATCTTTTTGACTCTATTTTATATATTATTTACTTTTAATTGGTTTGTTAATGATATTTAGTGGTGATTTTTTACGTAAATTATCGATTTATACGGCACATAAATATTTTTTTCTCATTTAATTAAGTCAGATATTAATCGCGAAGAACATCGATTAATTACATATGGTATCTATAATTATTTTCATCCTCCATCCTATGTTGGCTGGTATTTTTGGTCAGTTGGTACACAAATTTATTTATGTAATCCAATTTGTACAATTATCTATATTATAGCAGCATGATATTTGTTTTAATCAACGAACTAAATATGAAGAATATACATTGATAAGATGTTTTCGACATGATTATATCAATCATCAAAAATGTGTACCCGTTGGTATACTATTTATTCGTGGTTATGATTTAAAATATAATAGTAAACATACATATGAAGATGTGTGAGCAAAAGAAAAGTATTGAAAGGAAGATCTTTTTTTTTCTTTTTCTTTTTTTTTTATTTGTATTTAAACACTGACCTTTTGTATTTTTTTTAATTAAAAATTAAGTTTTAAATATGATGTTTGCATTAACAATTAAACTTTTTAAATCTATTTTAAAGTCATATTTTAGAACATGTTCAATTAGTAATGAGAATCTTTGTTATTCATTTTCTTTTTTAGATCGAAGATATAATTTATTTTTTTTTAGTTCTTTTCATTATTATTGTTGATTATTGATTATGGCGTTGCTTCAAGGAATTCGAGATTTGTTTATTGACTCCAACTCGACGTAGCCATTTCAGATTCTTAAATAGACTGAGATATGTAATATTAACATTTAAGCTTTTCCTTACTGTCGCACGATAACAGATAGTGTAGAGTTGTTCTGGCGGAATAGAGAGGAATTTCAGCGTTTGGCTACAGAGGCTCCACAAAACGTTTCCGACGACTGCTCGTTGTCTTTTCGTCAGCTTCGTTCTTGAAAACATTTTCGAAGATCAAACTGCCGAAGTTTTCATTCGCTGAACTGCATCTGGAAGCTCCCGCTTTCTCGGACAGCTAACTGTTAACTGCGTGTGCATCACGCGGTTGCCGACCAAATGTACCAGTTTTCCATATATATCAGTTGACTACTGCTAGCTGCACGGCTGGTTGCCATCTAGATTACTAGTTGGAAAAGGGGCTATTAACTGCATGTACAGCGTCCGAAATATATCTGGAGTTTTCGTACAAGTGAGTTGGGCAAAGGCTGCACTCTTTCTTATAGACGCAAAAAGTCGATGAATGAAGCCTAATTGAAGAATTGAGGCATAGAAAACATCAAAGAGACAAGGACCAGAAAGCGACTTTTACGTGGATTCCAAATATCGCACTATTCTTCAACGATGACCTTTACTTCGTCTGTGCTGACCAAATCCTTCTCTACCAACGTTTCAAATTATCTAATTATAATCATAATTAGGTAATTATAATTTTAAATAGACAATTATAATTATAATAAAATAATTATAACAGTTGGCAGAAAAGGATTTGGCCCCCGCGGACGAGATTTGACTCACTTTTCCGGTGCATTGTCATTGAAAACTCTCATATATATCAAAATGTTAAAAAGGTTGTTTTTAACATTTCAGCAACGTCCACCTCGCCGACAACCTCGTCAAAGAGTTTATCTTCAACACGGGGTAAGTTATTTTATGCGAGTGTGTTTCTTTTAACGAAGAAGCTTCGTGGAACACTTCTAGAAGACTCGGCAATTAAAAATGACAACTATTCTTTAGATTACATGAGATGTCGAATTTCAAAATCTCTATCATGTTGTTCGCCTCTCACACCTGTATTTAGGCTGCATATGTAGCTTGTCGTATATAGTCAAATTAAATTTCTCTTGCAGCAGATATTTCTCATCCACTAATTGACTCCACGCAGACAGAGCCATTACATTTTAGCATTTAATGTTTTGCTTACTGTCGTACCGTAACTGATGATGACGAATTGCTCACGAAGAATACCGACGAATTTCAGAGTTCGCCAATAGACGCTCGGCAAAACCTTTTCGGACGACTGTTCGTCATCCTGTCGTCGATTTTTCACTTCGGTACGACCATCCCAAGCCCACAAACACCGTCTGAGGTGCCTATTTTCTAGTTGAAATTCTGTGTCAACAGCATACATCAAACTCGTAGTTCCATGTTGCTCTTATCCTTTAGCCGATCAGCTTTAACCCATAACTTTCATTGCTGTGAGGTTTATCCCTGTTTATCAACACCGCTCATTGACGCTTTTCTCTATGACACTCATGTTTTTATCACTAAACAACTGCTTACTTTACCACAAAAAAACAATTGTTCATTAATTTGAGGGAAAGGTGATTTACGGGGTAGTGTAACGTGTTGTAACTCGAACATTGACGTCGTATTTAAACGTCGCTGTCGAATTTCAAAATCTCTATCATGTTGTTCGCTTCTCACACCTGTATTTAGGTTGCGAACGTAGCTTCTCGTACATAGTCAAATTGAGTTCTGCTTGAAGTAGGTTTTATTGACTCCAACTCGACGTAGCCATTTCAGATTCTTAAATAGACTGAGATATGTAATATTAACATTTAAGCTTTTCCTTACTGTCGCACGATAACAGATAGTGTAGAGTTGTTCTGGCGGAATA